AAAAAAACTGACTTGTCCAATTGTACATAATGTAACAGTTATGGATGTTAAATAAATCAATCAATCAAGTAGGCCCACTTGACTTGTATCTGGGACATAAGCAGTTAAGTCTGAGCTAAAATACCAACTATCATGGCTGAGATTTTTGTCGATTTTTCAACTCCATCAAGAAAATTTTAGGATAGCACCATAAGTTAGACCACTTCCACATCGCTTCCAATTCATTATTCACTGTCATACCATGATTCAAAACTCTTCACACAAATATTGGTTATGATAACCTTTGCTAGCAACAAGCACTTTTGGCCAGTTGATAAAGCCCAGAGGAAGTATAATGGGGGGAGAGTGGGAAGCCTGAAGTGCTGTCATTTTACACCATCCACTACACTTTTTTCTTTCACCTCCATATATTAGAAAGCACGATAGAAATTGAAAGTACTTTTATTATAAAATTCTGATAATTTATATGAATAACACTGTTTTACAGAATAATATGAACGTGATGAAAACTGATCCTGATTCAGACAATGAAACCCAACCAATATTTTCACACTCTAAGGATCCATTTGGTGATATAGAGTGTCCTGTACTAGCCATGTTGCCAGCAATAAACAGTGAAAACAAGGTGAATAATGTAATTGTGCCTCTTGTGTTTTCTGCAATGTAAGACCATTATTTATATTAAGATTGTGGTCCTCTGGTTGTAACGCTGTGTAGTGGATGCCGTTGTTTTGGAGGAACATGCTGCCTTCACTTCAGGGTTGACCCTACAATACTTAGGGTGTCACAATCTGGAAGACCACAATTTGAAAACTTCTCATACTGAAAACCTGAAAACTGGTACCATGTATGAAGAGTTCTATCTAATGCCATGTAGTTCATTGAAAGTCAACCCATGTATAGAGACTCCATCTTCAGGGTTGAAGCATAACTGAAGCAGGTTGGCTTGGATTTTTCTTTGACCCTCAGGATGGAGGCAACATGTTCCTCTGATACATCGGTTGACTCACCAACAGACTACATGTCATTATATCCCAGAATATAAAACTTCGTAACCATGACTATGAGAACTTCAGATCCTGGATGGTACTGTGTATGTATCATTTATGGCATGTATTTATTATTTTGACAGATATTGCATAGAACAAGGCACAATAGACAGATTCTCTGTGTCTCCACATAATCACCATACTAATTCAGGCATTTGTCTCAGCAATATGGATATGTTAATTCCTGAGGAGAAGAAATTAAGGTTCAGTGTTTGCATTGAGTAGCACACCGCAGTATTCATTTCATCATTCTGTCAAAGAGCCTCTTCATTGATTTACAGAAGTGAAAATTGAGAGGCACAAGGAAGCTGCTGTTTGATAGCATTTGGGAACACACATGATACTCTCCTAACTCACTTCCTTGCCCGTGAAACAACAATGATTGCTTGCAACTATTGCACAACACTGTGGCACCTGAATGAAATGGTCTGGATGAAGCAAACGCTGATTTTAATTCTTCTGTGTTGGAATCAAACAGGTTGTATATTGTGAGGGTAGTTCAGGGTTGACCTGGACTTTATTTTTTTAAGAGAATATACATTTATGTGCCAGAATCACCGAACTCTTACTTTTCAAGATATTCTTCCTTTACACCAACACATATTTTTTGGCATCCTGGCAAGTTATTGATGCCAGCATCATAGAAGGTTTTATCATGACTCTACAGGCTGTTCAGGACACCATGTTTGGGTTCATTTTGAAATTTCTGTCCTCCATGGTGCACCTTGTTTGGTTCAACCAAATCAGAATCACTGACAGCTAAGTCAGGTCTGTAAGGAGGGTGTTACCTTCATCAAATTTGCTGCATATGGATGAGCATTGCCCTTGAGTAGTATGTCTTCTTTGAGGATTTCCCAGGTCCTTTCTTCTGAATTGCTTGGTGAACCTTATTGTGAAGCAAGATACTGTTACATTGTGCATCAATTGTTACATCACATGGAAGAAAATCACCATTAATCAATCCTTCTGAGTCCAAATACACACTTGTTATGCCCTTTCCAGGTGACAACTATGCCTTAGTTTTTTGAGGGGTGGAGATCCCTTATGATACCATTCCTTGCTGGACTGCTTCAACTTTGGAGTGAAGTAGTGCACCCTTACCTTATCACAGGTCACTGTTTCCCTCCAATTAAAACCAGTGCAGATGTTTGGCAGACACAGTAACTTGCTGTGCTTTCTGGTTGAATGTTATTTGAACATCTTTAGGACTCACTGGTCACACACTTCTATGAAAAGTGTGCATTGACAATTGTTTCAGCACTTCCAACACTCATACCAATATTGGATGCAATCTCAAACACTACAACTTGGCTGAACATGAGCATCAGGACTTCTTTACAGGCATCAGACGTTATTGCACCAATCCTAGACACTTGCACATGACAGAGTTGCTTCCCTATGATGTGCATTTAACCTACGAAGAATTTCTGCTGGCTTCTGTTTCTCTTTCACTAGGAATCTGATAATACAGCACTGTTCTACACTGAGAGTGACAAAGTCTGACACAATCATGCTCTAGCTCTAATGTACAGAAGCAAGGCACATGGCCATCTACCAGGAAGTGAGGACAGTGTTGCCACCAACTGACCATAATATACTTTTTTTTCTGACTGATACTGACAGTTTTGTAGAAAAAATAAGGGGTTTGTTTTTAGTCCCATATTCTGTTGGATGTATATATTGAAGTAATAAATACAAGTGTGACATATCCTTGGACGTTACTTACTGAACACCTCCCACCACCTACTTATATTGTACTATGGTCAGGTTTCTGATCAAAATGAAATACAGATTTTTAGGTGTTGTAACCTGAAAAACACTTGCTTGCTTTGAGAGGAGGATGTTTATTGCAAGTGTTAGGAAATAAATGGCCGGGAAAGTGTTTGGACCTGATAATGAAGTGGTAATAGGATATTACATAATTAAATACTAACATGACTCATTTACTTAATATCACGGGCAAGTTGGTAGCTTGTCTGTTTTATGTTTGGGAGGTCTTGGATTCAGATATCAGCCCAGACACCAGCTATTCTGATTGAGATTTTTCATTATTCTCCTCAGTCCCTCCAGGCAAATGCTGGGGTAGTGCCTCAGATTAGACCATGACTGCTTCATTCTGCACCCTTTCTGTTGTGTGCTATATATCCCAAGTTTCTGACAGCATCATTAAATAAATCGTGAATAAATACATGACTCAGTAAGGTAATGAGAGATAGGATATTATGATTGATTGAATGTATAGCTCAGATGGGACAGACAGAATTTTGATAGGGAAACATTATGGAAAGCAGCTGTTTGGGACATTGAAGAGGTGGAAGATACAAAAAAAATCTCCGTGGTTTTAGTCCGCAAGCGAACTATACTGATCAAGAGACAGCTGCTTGTCGGCGAAGTTAGTGCATAGTTGGTTGAGGCACTATGCTACAAGCCGGAAGGTCACAGGTCCAAGTCCTGATGAGGTCATTGGATTTCTTCAATTGACCTAATCCTTCCAGCGGCACTATGGCCATGGGGTCGACTCAGCCTCTAACAGAAATGAGTACCAGGAATATTCTTGGGGGTAAAGGGCGGCTGGTGTGTAGGACTGACAACCCTACCGCCATCTGTGAGCCGATTGTCTAGAAAATGTGGTGGAAGACACCCTTAAGGTAGATCTTTGGAAGGTGTCTGTTGAGACTGAAGGAGGAGAGAACTAGCACAATCAGTACTGGGACTCCATAGCAATGATGATGGGATTGTTAATGAATGTGGAGCACTTGGTAGAGTGAGAATGAGAATCAGGTCAAGCCATGAGCTTCAGTATTATTAATATCAAGACTGTCCCACGTGACCTGACCTAGGATTTAACTGAGGCCACTGGGGTGGAAAGCTGTCACCTAACCACCTGAGTTATGGAACAGTCATTCCTGATGTTGGACTTCAAGCTCCAGTCCAGAGTTAGTTCATTCATTAGTTTTAACCTGTGACCTGAAAACCTTCCCACTATTACTACTCATACAGAATGTTATCTGCACTTCCAAGTCCAACCACCCACATCACGTGAAAAGGGGAGTTGTTCATAGTTTTATCAGATGAGCCTAGGTCATGTGTCAGGATATGAAGGATTTCAACAAGGAAATTAAGGGCATAAGACAGGATCTGATGCTCAATGGATATCCCCCAAAGACTTTGTTGCTTCCATAATGAAGCCATCGAGAAGCAACCATCCTTCTTCAGATACAGTATACCAGGGCAGTCATTATTCCATATGTTAAGGGTATCTCTGAGAAATTCAAATGCATTGGAAACTGTTTCAATGTCAAGACCATTTTCAAAACTACACATACACCCCCTGGGACATTGATGAGTACTGGACTGGTTAGAGGTGTCTAGCAGACAAGGCAGTGTGTGTACAGTATCCCATGCAATTATGGTACATGCTACGTCAGCAAAATAAGCAGACCTTTAGAAGTACACATTAAGGAATACAAATCTAACCTGACTGGAGGTCTGCTTGAAAAATCAAAATTAGTCCACCATGTGTATGAAGGAGGCCACAAAATATGGAGTGAACGGAAGGTCTTGCAGACTGAACCAAACACCACCTATAGCAAACACAAGGAATCTGCCAACATGTCTCTGCTGCACCATCCGATCAGTCAATGTAGCTTGGACAGCTCTCCCATTATCACAGCTGAAGTTAGAAAACTACAACTCTGTCCAATGTAGATTATGTGTGAAAATTTTGTTTTTATGTCGGTACCACACAGAGAATTTGTCTTTTTAGTAATTACTTCTATTCTGATAGTACTCTGATTTTAACAATAGCCATAAAATATGTAGTGCATGAACATGGGTTCTAGGCCACATGTATGTGGAGTTTTTTAACGTTCATCTTAACTCTTGCAGATGGTTTGTGCTGTGCTTGCTTAATATATCTGATATTGTGTTTGTGCTGATGTCCAGAGATACAGACTAGCTTTATTGATTGGGCCCATTTGAGAGGTTCCATCTGAAGATGGAGACAGAATCCAGTCTTTGAAACGTTGTGTGTTAAAATAAAGTCAGGATGGTGGATAATGTTCAGAAATACAATAAATATGTTAATATACTGTGATCACAGAGATTCATTTTATTTAATATGATCCTCTTATCTACAAGTATGTTTTTCATGTAGTCTCTTTTCATCAAGTTTTCTGCCAAAACATTTGTATTTCAAGACAAGGGAGCAAACTGGCAAATTATAATAGTCACACACTAAATGTTATTCTTATGCACCAGGAACAAAGTTGGAATTCTGTGGCTATCAAAGAGGAATTAAGGGATGGCTTAATAACAGAGGAGCATGAAATGTGCCTGAAGAGGTGAGTGTAATGGTAATGGAATGCTCTGTGTATTTGTATTACTTACATCTAATTATATATATATACATAAAACTGTTACTTTCCTGTGTCTTGCCATGGGCCTTACAGAGACCACCCACATACATTATTAAATTTACCAAGGGGTTGGAGTTCGAGTCTCAGTGGGGTGAAGAATTTTCTCTTCTTCACGTTGTCCAGACTGGCTCTGGGGTCCACCCAACCCCCTATCCAATGGGTACTGGGGGCTCTTTCCCCGTGGGTAAACCACTCACCTCCAGCTACTGCTGAGGTCAAGAAAATTTGAATCTAAATGTAGAGGTTGTGATCTTCTGGGTTATGACAACATGTAGTCTTGTAGGCAAATACTAATGTTTTGGAGGAACATACTGCCCCCATCTTCAGAGTTGAAATATGTGAAGTGTGAGGAAGTGTTTGGGTTATGTAGATAAGTTGCAGGGAAGGCAGTCACTCACTTCCTAACCCTACACACTTCAATCCTGAAGTTGGAGGCAGCATGTTCCTCTAACAGTGTCACCTCTCACAAGACTACAGTCTGAACAGTCACCACTGTGATATCCTTAGAACCTAACTGCAGTGGTATATTTTGATGGGAGGAGGGATGCACAGTAGTTTCTTGCTGTATCTACTGCATTTTAATTCTTTCTAGCTTCATAGTTTTTAACATGTGCTGTTCTTTTCATTTTAGTCTTCCAACTTTTGTACTTTCATCTGCAGCCGAGGAAGAGGAAGAGAATGATTTGGCTGCCTTTATAAGTTCATTAAGCGATGAAGATTGTGTGGAGGAAAGCGATGAGGATGGTGAAATGTCTGTCCACAGAGTTCGTTGGACAGATACACATATGTCCAACTCTGACATTAGTGATATTCAGGACAGTGATATCAGTTTCAGTGGTGGTGATGATGATGATACTTATCACAGTGATGATGCTGCTCCAGATTTTACTGAACTCACTTCAGAGCAGGACGTTCCTGTTACCCATATTTTTAATTATATGGAAATTCCCGGACCAAAGCATGTACCTCCTCCAGGTTCTGAACCAATACTCTATTTTTACTTGTTTTTCAATGAGTCGCTGTGGAACATGTTGGTACAGGAAACTAACAGATATGCAGATCAGTTCTTGGCAGCTCATCAGTATTTGTCACAAGGTTCACGGATCAGACAGTGGCATGAGGTCACTGTAACAGAGATGAAGGCTTTTGTTGCTGTGTTGTTAGAGATGGGCATTACAAGAAGACCAAGCATTATGTCTTACTGGACTACTAATTCTCGCTGCATCCCCTGGTTTGGAAAGATGTTTTCCAGAAATCGCTTCCAGTTAATTTTGAAATTCCTAAATGTTACAAATAATTCTGACCTCTTCCCACCCAGTCATAAAAACTACAATCCTTGTGCTAAATTCCAACCCCTGGTTGATCATGCTAACAAACTATTCCACCAATATTATACACCCCATGAACATCTTAGCATTGGAGCAGCATTTGTAGGTACAAACACACAACACCACAAATGTAGAATAAAGATGTGGATGCTCTGTGATTCTGTAGTGCCATATTGCCTTGCCTTCTACTGCTATCCTGGTACAAAGACCAGGGAGGTCAAAGAAAACATCCAGAAACATGGCCTGGGTTATGTAGTGGTTAATGATCTGCTAAATGTTGGTGGTTACCTAATGAAAGGCTTTCATGTAGTTCTGGACAGCTTCTTCACCAGCTTCCAGTTGGCGCATTATCTGTACAAGAAATGTACATTTTTAACGGGCTCATTGAAGAGGAACAGAAGGCATGTACCACAGGAACTGAGGGAGAACTTTGATGTGGGACACATCAAGTATTACAGAAGCAAAGAGATACTTTTGGCTGGATACAGGGAAAAGGAATCTCAGAGATACCCTATGCTCTTTCTTTCAACAAATTCTGTCATAGAAAACATTAAAGTCACATGGACTAAAAACGGGCAAGAAAGAGTAACCATGAGGCCTCACATTGTTCAACAGTACAACAACTATGTGGACAGCACAGTTAAATCTGATATGGCAGTTACCTACCTTTATGAGAAGAGAGCAATGAAACATTGGAAGAAAGTGGTTTTTGGGATTTTCTCTCATATGGTGATGAATGCTTATATTATATATAAAGAGAACACACCAAGGAAAAAGATGACACAGCAGCAGTTTATATCAAGTATTATTGAAGCTATAGAAAATGAATGGATGTTAGAAAGGAACTGGAATGAGCTTGCTACTTCAGTGCAAGCATATACTTCACTTCCAGCTGAAGGTTTTGGAATAAGAAGACTGGCAGGTCGCAAAGAAAGAGTCTGTGTTGTATGCAGTAGAAAAAATGGTGGGCCAGTTCACAGGTCTCGTACGATATGTATCAGGTGTGAGAAAGGCCTGCATGGTTTGTGTATGTCACAACATAAATGTCGAATGATGTCAGTATAAGAAATCTGGATTCTCAATCGATATCTGACAGTGATGTTTTCCACTGTCTTTGATGTAAAATGATTACAATAAACTTCAAAAGTGACTGGTATAATTTTTCCTCCCTAGAGTATACAAATCCACTGCAAAATGAGAAGCTTCATAACTTGTACTCTTCTCCAAGTATAATTAGAATGGTCATGTCAAGGAGGATGGGATGGGCAGGGCATGTAGCACGAATGGGGGGGAAAAAGAATGCATATAGGATATTGGTGGGAAAGCCAGAAGGGGACCACTGGGAAGACCAAGACATGCGTGGGTAAACAATATTAAAATGGATTTTAGAGAGATTGGATGGTAAGGATTGGATTTATCTGGCTTAGAATAGGGACCAGGGGAGGGCTCTTGTGAACACATCAATGAACCTTCGGGTTCCATAAAATGCTGGGAAGTTCTTGAGTAGCTGCACAATTGGCGGTTTCTCAAGAAGGGCCCAGCTCCATGAGTGAGTGAGTGAGTGAGTGAGTGAGTGAGTGAGTGAGGTTGCACAAATTCAATCCAGCATCTAGTAAAATGTGTCATAAGAAGGATTTAATGTCCATTGGTTTTTTGTAGTTTGTATCTAATGTGTAATATCGGCTTGTGGGGTGTAGTTGTGTCATATTTTGAGGTTGTTCCAGTGATTTGGATTACATTGGAGTCACCATCTTGAGGGTGAATGACACAGAAAAGGGAAATGGACAAAATGTAGGTCTCACAGAGGGACTATGGGTGGGGGTGTGGTTGCATCTGTTTTCCTCCAAACACTTTTCATTAACCACATGGCCCCTTCCCATTGGATAGCTCTGTGGTCTATACCTCTGCACCCTAATTCCCACTGCACGATGTATATATTGGTTCACTTTGTCTGTCCATCTCATCCTCCACAAAGCACTCATTAGAAGTATGATGACAGGTGCTTGCCCCGCCTGGAAGTCTGCAGCAGATAACCATCTACTCAAATTGCAGCACCTGCAAAACAAGGTTCTCTGCACAATTGGAAATTTTCCAAGGGGCACACCGGTTTGCAATTTGCACATGGCTTTCAAACGTCCATACATATATTATTATATTACAAAATTATGCAGGCTACAAATACAGGGGGGGGGGCACATGGTAGCATAGTTCGTTGAGGCACTATGCTACAAGCCAGAAGGTCATGGGATTGAATTCCCAATAATCTTTCCAGCCACACTATGGCCCTGAGGATGACTCAGCCTAACAGAAATGAGTACCAGGAATATTCTTGGGGGTAAACAGTGGCCGGCGCATAAGGCTGATTGCCTTACCGCCATCTATGAGCCGACTGTCTAGAAAATGTGGGAACCTCAACATTCACAACCCAATGGGCCTCCACGGCCTGTTACAGGGATAGCTTTACTTTACTTTTACTTTTACTCTGAAAATAAGGCAGAACTGTATTGTCTGTGAATAACAGTAACAGTGAAAATAAATACAAGATGAAATTAAGAGTTTAATGAAAAGAAGAAACACATGCTACTGATGAATTTGGAATAATGTTATTTTTTGTCTTGTGTTTCCATTAAATTGTACATCTGTAAATTACACTGCGTGTGTGTGTGTTAATACATTTCAACATTTGTTGCTTTACCAAGCATACATTCACAATGTAACAAGGTTCTTCAGTAAGTGCCAGTAAATTGGCATTATGATTGCAATTCTTGCTGCAATTTATGAAGCAGAATTTCCAGTCTTCCTTTCATAACAGGCTGGCCCTTCTTTGTTTTCTTTGATAACTTCTTGAATACTTCGGCTTTGTTAGCCCTGTATCTGGCAACAGCTTGTGATCTTTCCTCTTTCTTCTTCTGAGCTTCTTGAAGTTTCGCTGCCTTTTCTTCTTGTTTGCGCTTATACTCCTCCTCTGCTTTCTGGTATGCAGTTGGTCTTGGTATCCTGATAAACAAGTGTGACATGATGAAAATACAAGTACGAGGAGAGTTCCATATATAATGCCTCCTATTTTTCTTTAATGAAAACTACAACAGATACAGAAAGCATAATAATGCATTTAAATAGAGCAAGATTTCAGCTACTTACAGTTATTTTTTCCACATAATCACCACCATTCATTATGCACTTTTGCCAGCGATGAACAAGAACCTGTATGCTGCGCCTATAAAAGTCTGCACCAGAAGAGGCTAGCCACTTTCTTACAGCTGCAATGACAGCATCGTTGTCTGGAAAATGTTGCCCACATAGTCCATCTTTCATAGGCCCGAAGAGGTGGAAGTCTGAAGGTGCTAAATCGGGGCTATAAGGTGGATGTGGTAGGACAGTCCAGCCAAAGTTTGCAATGTGCATGGTGGTCGCCAAACTGGTATGGGATCTGGCGTTATCGTGTTGCAAGCGAAAGGTTGTCTGCTTCTCTGGCCTGATCCGGGAAATGCGGGCTTTCAGCTTAGTCAGTGTCATCTTGTAGCATTCAGAATTGACAGTCTCACCAGGCTCCAGGAAATCCAACAAAATCACATGCCGCCTATCCCAAAAGACTGTGCACATCACTTTCCCTACCAATGGCTGTGTCTTGAACTTCTTTTTTGGGGGGAATCCGGATGTTGCCACTCCATGGACTGTACTTTGGTTCCGGCTCATAGTGGTGACACCATGTCTCATCTCTGGTGACGATGCTGTCCAGAAACTTGTCACCTTCAGCCTCAAACTGGTGCAACAGGTCCTGACACACTTCCACTCGATGAGTTTTGTGGCCCTGTGTAAGCATCCGCGGGGACCCACCTGGAACAAACTTTGCGATAATCCAGCTTCCCCAACATCGTTTCCAATGCATTACAGCTGATATTAAGCCGTGCACACAGTGCCCTGGTCGTTATCCGCCGATCTGTATGGATGAGCTGATTGAGGCGCTGAGCAGGGACGCCCAGGGTGTGGTTTGTCATGCACTTCACTTTCGCCACTGTTGAAATGCACTACCCCCAGCCTCACTGTGCTGACATCCACTGTATCGTCTCCATACACCTTTAGCAAGTGTTGATGGAAGTCAATGGGTGCAATTTGTTCGGTATTGAGAAATTCAATAACACATCTCTGTTTCGTATGCACTTCTATGTCAGATGCCATTTTGGTAGACTGATCTGCTGTCGCTATTTGTCGCACAACAACCAAACTAACAGTACATTGGCAGGAAGATTCAACCTTTACTACAACACCAACATCCATCTCAGATGTTACATATTAACACAAAAAAATAGGAGGCATTATATATGGAACACCCTTTGTAGTATTTGGAAGTACTTACAATGCCTGCTTCCTTACTTAATTGTGATGTGTGTAAGATCTACAACATAATAATTCATTTATATGCAGCATTTCTATTGGTCACATTCTGGTTATATTAGATTTGTCAAACATAACTTCAAATTTTCATATTATCACTATGTTTATAAATTCTGGTACATATATATTATGCAGAACTGTACGTATGTACTTGGCCTACTTACATACAAAATTTCACATGCCTAGCAAAATGGTTCATTACTTTTGACAAGGTTAAAGCTACATACATCACACATACACATGGCCACCATGTTATTTTGAATTCTACAAGAAGAAAAGATACTGAAACAAAAGTTTCATAGTCTTCACATATTTAGTACCATACCAAATCACACATACTCCACCCTAAGTGGTGTGAGTATTATCCTAACCTTGGAAATTTGCACATCCTGTGCATGTACAAAGCCAATCCAGTTTATGACATCAACCTGTTTGCATCAGTCTGCATGTATCTATTGCCTTGGAGGAGATTAACACAGTTATTTCAGAGCCTGCTGCAAATTGCCAAGACACCGAGAGAGAGGAGTGTGATAGCCCTCATGAAAAGCCAAGCTGCTGAGACTTGGATTACTAGGTGGATTTACAAGACTATACACAAAAAGTCACAAACAAAACCCACCAGATTACTGCAGATGCTGGATATGCTCCATTGTTCTTGGCACTTCCATAAAAAGTTCACAGTCACGCATTCAAATTCCTTTTCAGAAACAACGCAAACTTGAAACTAGTGTCAGGGTTAAAACAACATGGCACTTGGGATTTTAGAGTGGGCCAGGGAAGAGAAACTATAACATGTATTCACTCTTTGGTTTTTGATTCCCCAGAATCTCTGAACACGAACTTAAAGGGGGGAGAGGCTGTTCCTTCTATGCTAGATTTGAAGTCTGCAGTTATTATGACAAGTAGTCTTTAAAGATGTGACACTATGTAGTCTGGTAGGAGTTCTCCAATATTTCAGAGGAATGTACTGCCACCATCTTCAGGGCCAAAGAGTAAGCCAAGGCATCAACTAGTATGAAACTCTTCTGCCTGAGCAGCTCAGTGATTTGCGGGCAGCTCTCAAACAACAGCACTGTACAACGTCATATGTTTGACTTCTACTTTGTTGAGATAGTTAGGTTTGGTCAAGAACTAGAAAATTTTAAATAATGAAGTTTATATGTCCTCAAAATGCAAGTTGACTGATACTGTTCTATGTCATTGAACCATAAGAACGTTTTCTCAAGGAAGGGATTTTCACTTGCATTCAGTGTTTTGATAAGAGTATGGTTACTAACGTCATCCTTTCATAAGTGCAAAACAAGGAACTGATGGTTTGGACATGCATTAATCAGAGTATGGTAATGTTAATTTCTCCTGAAGTGGAGGTGTAACATGTATTTCCACACTGTTAAGATGTTCAGAAAAACAGGTTGGGTGAACAAACACTCAGTGGATTCAAACCTGTATACTCTTTTGACAACCTATAGGAGTGTCTCATTCTGAATTTTGAGGTTAACCACTGTAATTAATTGTAAATATGAGTAATGACTAACATGGAGTAAAAAATATGTTGTGGTCAAAAAATTATCTCGAAGATGTTGACAGATCATCAAGAAAATACAATCCTGAAATAACAAACAGCAATGTCTGACATTGCTTAGACGCTTTAAAAATGTGTCAACATAATGAGGTTCCCTTATTCGGGTATATAAGATGAAGCAGCACACACATACATACCTGTACTTATTCACGCCAGTGGATGATGTGGACATGTTCTGCTTTTCTGTGCCAGAGGACTGACCTGCAATCTTCCTCATCTCCTTGTAGTAACTGTGCGCAATAGCTTTTCGTCTGCGCTCCTCCCACTGTTCAACTGCATAATATTCCTCAATTAGTGAAAACACACAATAGATCTTCATATTTCTACAAAGAATTAGATTACATTACAAAAAATTTTGTTTATTTGTGGTTTATTTAATAACACTGTCAGTAGCTCAGACTATACAGTATAGTGAAGCAAGCAGTCTTCTGGGATGTGGCACCATGTAGATGTGGTGTTAACCAACATTTCGGTACTATATTCAACCGTATCAGCAGAGTGCTTTCCCGGCACAACATCAAAGCAGTGGGTCTGCCTCCAAATAAATTATCCAGTTTTCTCCGGCCGGTCAAAGATAGCCTGGGACTAAGGACACCAGGTGTATACAGTATCCCATGCAAGTGCGGCAAGGTCTATATTGGGCAGACGGGCCGCTCCGTGGACATGAGGTTGAAGGAGCATCAGTGGCACACCTGTCTCAAACATCTGGACAAGTCAGCCGTAGCTGAACACAGCATCGATCTGGGACACCGCATGCAGCTTCAGAATACCTCCATCCTCGCACCAAGACCCGATATATGGATCACATCATTAGGGAGGCCATTGAGATCGAACTCCATCCCGAAAATATGAACAGGGAGGGTTGTTCTGTCTCAGCAAGTCATGGAAGCCTCTCATCTGTTCCCTAAAAAATCACCCGGGACATGACGCCAGGTCCACAAGGCTACACAGGCCATGACCGACTAACATAGCAACCCCCCACCCCCAGCCTANTTGTACCGGTTCTCACGATCTCTTCGCTTGCGGATTTCTTATTTTTCCTTCTACCCTGAAGATGAAACGTCGGTTAACACCACAACTACACGGTGCCACATCCCAGAAGACTGTTTTCTTCATAGTCACCGCCGTGAAAACCTCAAATCTTATATACAGTATAGTGTTAAATAATAGAATTAGTGAATAATGAATTAGAAACATTATGGAAGATAGAGGTTGTGGCCTAATGTGCGGCATTATTCTGACATTTTCCTGGAAGTAAAGAGAACTGTAAAAATCCTACCAGGATAGCTATCTCCAGACATGGACTTGAGACAGGTCCTTATGAATAATAAGCAAGAGCAACCAAGATGGTTGGTGTCATCATCTTCCTCAACATTAGACAGTATAGTGACTAGGCTATATGCTGGATGACCAAGAAATATGGGTTTGATTCCTAGCAGGAGCAGATTTTTCTGTTCTCCAGGGCATCTAGACTGGCTCCGGTGCCCATCCAGCCTCCACTGGTTATGGGAGACACTTTACCAATGAGTAAAGCAGCCCATAAGTGAAGCTGACCACTCACCACCCTCTAGGACCATGGTTAAGGATGTGTGAAGCTATACCTCCACTTCAACATATGTCTTACGACAAGTATACCCCATCTACTATGACAGTGATGGTGCATCATTGTCCATTAGCGATGTGGACCTGCTTAGGCAGAATTTTTCATCTGTATGGTTGCCTACACAAAGAATGATATACCCTGGTTCAGAGAGTGGATAAAGAGACACTGTCCAGACATGGAAACATTTCAACTAGTGAAAACTTCAACACTGATGCTATGTTATTTGTGAACATCAGTTTCTTCCTGCCAAATCTAAAGATCTACAGTCCTTAGTATACAATTGGAATATTACAGCTGCAGAATTTTTCATGTAGATGAACAATGGAGAGAAAGATTTTGAAAGGAATAAGTCCAGTAAACCAAAATACACATTAATGATAGGATACTGAAACAATTTAACATATTTAATAACTTGGAATATATTATATCCTATGAATAAGAAAAATACTTGAATGTTTTATCAAGAAGACTTCAGAAACCATCCTCTACAAGAAAGGACAAGGTTGGACTAAGTGTGGCACCAGACACAACAACAGTTGCTACAAATACCCCAGGAGGAAGTACATCACCAGAAGAATGTATCGTACACCATGTCCAGAAAATTCAACAACTTCTACACCACGTGGGGAGGTTCCAGTAGAAGAAGTAGGTAGAATATCAGATGGTAGGACACAAGTAGGCAAAATAAAGCCACCATCAAAAGAAGCAAGGATTTTTTATGGCAGAAATAATTTTAAATAGACAAAGGAACATTGTATTTGAACAACGAAGTAATCAGTCATGTAATAAGAATGATATAAATAAAGTAATTAATAGTAAGTTGTTTTTAAACTATGTTTATTAATGAGAATCTTATTAAATTTTTTACTTTATATTATTATTTATGTTAACTGATTAATGTAAGTGATTTTGATTATGTGACTCATGTAATTTTGTATACGTATCTTGATATATGGAAAATAAAGGAAATGAATGAATGAATGTAAAGACGGTAAATTATGTCAGAATATTATAAGTTAGAGACTGGATCTTCAAACTGTCATATCTTTGTTCAGATCTACTAGTATGAACATGTAAGACAGTTGCTAGACTGTTATGGTGCCGAGTCATGAATAACAGACCAATACTAAAGTACACAGTCTCAATACTTAACAATTAAAACGAAATATATGCAACTGAGCCCTTCTTGAGAAGCTGCCAGTAGTTCAGCTACTCAAGAATTTCCTAGTATTTTATGAAACGTGAAGGATCACTACCATGTCCAAAAGAGCCCTCCACTGTTCCCTATTCTAAGCCATATCAATCCAGTCCATACCACCACATATTATCTAAGATCTATTTTAATATTATCATCCCAACTACTTCTAGGGCTTCCTAATGCTCTCTTTCCTTCTGGCTTTCCCACCGAAATCCTATATGCATTCCTCATCTTGCCCATGTGTGATACGTGCCCTGTCCCTCTCGTCCTCCTTGACTTGAACATTCTAATTATACTTTGCTAGAGTACAAGTTATGAAGCTCATCATTATGCAGTTTTCTCCAACTTCCTGTCACTTCATCCTTCTTCGGTCCAAATATTCTTCGGAACACCCTGTTCTCAAACACCCTCAGTTTATGTTGCTCCCCTTATGTCAGAGACCAAAGTGTAAACCCATACAAAACCACAAGAAAATTACAGTTTTTTATATTCTAATTTTTATGCTCTTAGACAGCAGATGAGAAGGCAAAAGGTTCTGGACTGAACAGTAACAAGCATTAACCAAACTCAGTCTCCTCTTCATTTCTTCCTCAATCAAGTTTTGATTTGTTACTGTCATACTCAAATATCTGAACTGTGCCGCATTTTAAAAGCACCTGTTATGTTATTAGTTTTCCCTGCATTCTAGCAGTGAGTCATTACCATAGACTTAATCTTCTCTGCACTTACTCCTAGACCAACCTCCTTATTAGCATCAGTTAGAACTTCCCAGTTTTCTTTATGGTATCTATGTTATCTTGCAACAGATTTACATCATGAGCATCATCTGGTGTATCCCATTTAATTTCAGTCCCACCTGTTTTTCCAGGACTTTCCTAATGGCATATTCTAAAGCAAAGTTGAAAGGGAATTGCAATAAAGCATCTCCTTGTTTTAGACCATTCTGGATATGAAAATTATCAGACAAATATTTACCTATATGGACTTTACTATATGTTTCGTTTAAACATATTCTAATCAGCCTAACTAGTTTCATGCGTACCCCAAACACTATGAGAATACTGTACATCACTTCACTCCTGACTGAATTATATATATATATATATATGAAGTAAATAAATAAATATTCAGTAGCTGGCAGAAGACGTTCTTCCACCTATTCAAAATGTTGTGGGAATCTACAAGCAGATATCCATTCTCATCCTTTACTAAGTTACTTGCATGTTGCTAACATTTTTTAAATTCATTTATTTCCTCATACAGCTCTTCAACATTCTTCTTACTGTGAGTTGCAGGCTTATTAGTTTTGTTTTTAAGATATTCCCTCTTTTTATTCCTGAAATGCTTGATGGCTATATAATATGATGAATATAATATCAATCATAATTTTCAGACAATTATGTGAAATTTACCTCTATATTTATTACTATATTTTCGTCGTCTCCATTCCTTTTTGTTGAATGTCTTAGTTTTCTTACTTCTGTCTGCTTCTGAATTTTCTGACATTTTTGTTAAGAAGTACTAATTTCACATACACAATACATACATAACCTACAAAATTCACATCCACACGTCTCAAACTAACATTCTGCTTTGAATTTCGAAAGCTGAAACCGGTTCAGCCAATGGTGCCATGAGAAATCTCCCTCCATGGGAACTATGTAGGTATGTCATGTCCCACACACCTAATCAAAAACCCTTCGGCGAGAACTGTTATGAGACTGAATTGAACAGTTGTTAATGATTGGGGCAGCGAAAACTGAGGAAACGGCAATCCAACTCGCGGTAAGACCGAGAAACTCAACTTCCAGGCGTTCCAGGCAACAGAGCATGCCAGTCTTCTCACAATTGCATTGCCGTGCGGTTTCATAGTGTCAGCTGCTCTATAACGGCGCTTCAGTGATTCATTTGTTCCTTTAGATGGCATGAGAGGAATGAAAGGTTTATGAAGCTGCTAATTTTGTTTTTGTGCATTTAATTGGGCGAGAGCCTGGTATATATGACAAGCGCCACCCAGACTATGCTTGGCAGGACAAAATACATTTTGAAGAAAGCGGTCTTCTGGGATAGGTGTGGTGTTAACCGACGTTTCAATACGTTCCTCTGAAACGTTAGTTAACACCACATCTTCACGGTGCCATGTCCCAGAAGACTGCCTTCTTCATAGTCACCACCGTGAAAACCTCAAATCTTACAAACTGTTTACTTACTTGCAAAATCTTATGCCAACATGTTTTTAAAACTTAATATTGACATTTCATATGCCACACATTTTTTTTAAGTTTGATTTAATTATATTAGTAACCTCAGCAATCCGCACATGGCCAGTGTAAGGAGGTATAGCAGGTAGAAGGTGATTGTAAAAGCTCTACGTACCTGATGGTTGCAATAGGCTGAAATATGTAGTAAATGCAAACGCATGGTATGTTTATACCAGAACTGTGTGGATTGAATAATAATAAACATTGTCTTACATAAAATCTAAGGCTACAGCATAATATTTCTACAGAACAGCGTATTTATGCACCTCTCTACATCTACAACACCCAAGATCTTCTTAGCTGATTAGCCACAACAAACAAATTTACATATTCCCACATACAAAAGATATACAAGGTGTGGCAATAAAGAACCCGGATTACTTTTATGACTCATTTCCGGCCACGTCATTGACGAAGAGGAGGGTAGGGCATTGACCCTTGGACTTCCCTCTACCGTCACACAAAGTTTCATTCACGTGCATCGGTTAGTCTGGCCGCGACCATTGTTAGAAGCGGATCGTGTTTCTGAGCTCCGTCGGAATAATGCTGAGTGCTAATGCAGAACAACGTGCTAACATCAAATTCCTCACAAAACTTGGAAAATCTGCCACTGAAACTTACAATTTGTTGACAGAAGTATATGGTGATCAGTGTCTATCTCGCACGCAAGTTTTCGAGTGGTTTAAGAAGTTTATGGAGGGTAGGAAAAACGTCGGGAACGATCCAAAA